TCTTTAATAAGAGTTTGATTATTTAGCGTTCTTACATATATTTTCCGTTTCTCCGTGTAAAGGTATTCTATTATGGATAAATTTTGAACTCAATAAGAATAGAAAATTTTCCAAAATATACTGATTCTTTACGCTTTTTGTTAGATTTACTGTTTTTAAAGACACAATTGTCATATCTTCTCACGAAACGTATCTTAACTTAAACAATGACAACGTATAATGAAGTGGATTAATTCCGACAATTATTTAATATAATTGTGTTCATAAACAGTCATTTGGATTTGCTAACGAGACGCTTCTCTGTAGCTAAATGGTATAGCACACCAGATCATTTGATTTGATGAGATAGAGTTTCGATTACTGTCGGAGAACGCATATTTTCTACGAAACATCCAGGCCGGTCAGTCAGTCCGTTAGACGATCATGTATCTTTCGACGTATGACTGATGAGACAGATTATTTTCCGGGTTACCATTTCTGCGGTAGACCAGTTGCCATCCAAATCTATAGAACACGGTCTGTCCTGCTATTTACCTATAGCTGGGAGGAGGGAGAAGAAGAGGTTTCATACGAGCAGGATTCGACTAGAATTCGAACTCGACTCTTCGACTTCTCAATCCAAGCCGCTAACCATTGCTCCACCATGCCTCCTGTAAATATAATTAATACTGTTTAATTAAAAACAAAAAACAGAGCGTTTATTTAAATAATTTGTATCTATAAAAATAACACATACACAGAATATATATCAAATAGTTGTCGGATATAATCCATTTAATTATATGTATGTATGTATGTATGTATGTATGTATATATATATATATATATATATATATATATATATATATATATATATATATATATATATATATATATATATATATATATATAGTCTTAAGGTGTACTATATTTCTGGGATAAATATAAAGAGAACACAGAAATCAACACTGAGGGCAATCATCAGGCCAAGAGTCTCGTGATATATATATATAGGTAACTATATTCGTTTTGAAAAACCTTCGAATTTTTGATTTGCCAATAATCAAATCAATCTCGAAGGAAAAAAGGTTTTTAAAAAAGAAAGAACTAGAAACATGAAAGTCTGTCGAAAAAAATCGCACAGATACAGGTTTGAAGCCCAAAGAAAAAATATGTTCATTTGAACATAACAATACTGATGATGACATTGTGTTAATGTCGAAACTACTCGGAATAAAATGAATATGCATCAACACAGTAATTTTTTCTGTAATAACTATACTAAGAAACGTATTCGAAGTTATTAGATGATCCTATTAAAAATAAGTAGAAATTATTTAATGGGACACACACACACACACACACACACATATATATATATATATATTAAGACCGGTTTCTATCTACTATTTTCATCTACTTTTTCATATATATATTAAGAATAATAGAATATATATATATATATATATATATATATATATATATATATATTGAAGTCGCTCTATTTGGTGGCATTTAAGGTAGGTCTCTTGATTGGGCCTTCATAACAATCGATAGAGATGAGTAGATGCGATAGACAGAACTCAGAACTAAAGAAGAACGTCGGTCATGGCCTTCCCGCTAACTTGGAGCATGTACATATAAATTTTGGTGCAAATCCGTCAAATATTGCGGCCGTGCATTCGTTACACACACACACATCCTGCCTTTTATAGATAGAGATTTCATGTTAATTTTTTCAGATGAACATTTTTCTGTGCTATTTAAACATTGTGGATTTAAGCGCAGTGCTAGATTGGCGGTAAGGTCTCGCCATTTTACACTTGAAATTGCTAGATGTAACCGTAAGTTTTATGCTAACACTTTCTTCAATCGTACTTGTCACTCTTCCAGCTTCTTGCTTTCCACTCAATATTGATCTTCAAAAAATAAAATGCAATGACATTCGTCATATTTTGCCTTCTTAATCCCTGTTCTTTTGTCGTCCTTGATTCTTAATAATATTTTGTCTCATATTCAGAATTTGTGAATTTAAGCGCAGTACTAGATTTGCGGCAAGGTCTCATCAATTTACGGTCGATAAAGCTAGATATAAAGTTCTATACCCCACCTTTATTTTTCTTGTCTTCTACCTTCCTCCATTCCTTCCTTCCTTCCTTGCTGCCTTCCTTCCTTCATTCCTTCCTTCCTTCCTTCTTCTCTTCTACCTTCCTATATTCCTTCTTTTCTTCCTTTCTTCCTTCCTCCATCCCTTCCCTCTCTCCTCACTTCTTCTCTTCCTCCTTCTCCCCTTCCTTCTTTCTTTCTGTGATCTTTTCCGTGCTTTCTTTCTGACTGATTTCCTTCATTTCTTCCTCCCTCCCTCCCTCGCTTTCTTCCTTCCTTCCATCATTCTTCGATCTTTTCCGTGTTTTCATTCTTCCTGATTTCCTTCCTTCATTCTTTGTTTCTTTCTTCCTTCCTTCCTGTTTCCTTCCTTCCTTCCTTGTTTCTTTCTTCGAACTTTATCTACCTCCTCTCTCACTTCTTTCCTTTCAACTTTCATTCTTTCCTCCCATTCATTCTCTGTTTCTTTCTTCGATCTTTGCCTTTCTTCTTCCATTTCTTCCTTTCTTCCTTCCTTCCTTCTTTCTTTCTTTGCAGCCTTCATTCCTTCCTTCTTTGCATTCTTTGTTCCTTTCTTCGATCTGTTCCTTTCTTCCTTCTTTTCTTCCTTCATTTCTTCCTTCTTTCTTTCCTTCTTTCTTTGCAGCCTTCATTCCATCCTGGCTTGCATTCTCTTTTTCTTTATTCGATCTTTTCCTTTCTTCCTTCATTTCTTCCTTCCTTCATTCTTTCTTTCTTTCTTTGCAGTTTTCATTCCTTTCTTCTTTGAATTCTTCATTTCTTCCTTCTTTCCTTCTTTCTTTCTTTGCAGCCTTCATTCCTTCCTTCCTTCTTTCTTTCCTTGCAGCTTTCATTTCTTCCTTCCTTGCATTCTTTGTTTTTATTATTCGACCTTTTTCTTTCTTCCTTCTTTTCTTCCTTCCTTCCTTCTTTCTTTCTTTGCAGCCTTCATTCCATCCTTCTTTGCATTCTTTGTTCCTTTCTTCGATCTGTTCCGTTCTTCCTTCTTTTCTTCCTTCATTTCTTCCTTCTTTCCTTCTTTCTTTCTTTGCAGCCTTCATTCCTTCCTTCTTATTTTCTTTCCTTCTTTGCAGCCTTCATTCCTTCCTTCTTTGCATTCTTCATTTCTTCTTTCCTTCCTTCTTTCCTTCTTTGCAGCCTTCATTCCTTCCTTCTTTGCATTCTTCATTTCTTCCTTCTTCCCTTCTTTCTTTCTTTGCAGCCTTCATTCCTTCCTTCTTATTTTCTTTCCTTCTTTGCAGCCTTCATTCCTTCCTTCTTTGCATTCTTCATTTCTTCCTTCCTTCCTTCCTTCTTTCTTTCTTTGCAGCCTCCATTCCTTCCTTCTTTGCATTCTTCATTTCTTCCTTCCTTCCTTCCTTCCTTCTTTCTTTGCAGCCTCCATTCCTTCCTTCTTTGCATTCTTCCTTCCTTCCTTCCTTCTTTCCTTCCTTCCTTCCTTCCTTCTTTGCAGCCTTCATTCCTTCCTTCCTTCTTTCTTTCCTTGCAGCTTTCATTTCTTCCTTCATTGCATTCTTTGTTTTTATTCTTCGACCTTTTTCTTTCTTCCTTCTTTTCTTCCTTCCTTCCTTCCTTCTTTCTTTCTTTGCAGCCTTCATTCCATCCTTCTTTGCATTCTTTGTTCCTTTCTTCGATCTGTTCCTTTCTTCCTTCTTTTCTTCCTTCATTTCTTCCTTGTTTCCTTCTTTCTTTCTTTGCAGCCTTCATTCCTTCCTTCTTATTTTCTTTCCTTCTTTGCAGCCTTCATTCCTTCCTTCTTTGCATTCTTCATTTCTTCTTTCCTTCCTTCTTTCCTTCTTTGCAGCCTTCATTCCTTCCTTCTTTGCATTCTTCATTTCTTCCTTCTTCCCTTCTTTCTTCCTTTGCAGCCTTCATTCCTTACTTCTTATTTTGTTCCTTCCTTCCTTCCTTCCTTCCTTCCTTCCTTCCTTCCTTCCTTACTTTATTCTTTGTTTCTTTTTTCGATGTTTTCCTGCCTTCCTTCCCTTTATCGGCCATCTTTTTTTCCATTGATCTTCCCTTCCTTTCTTCCGGAATTGCTTCCTACTTCTTTTTTTCTTTATTTCTTTAACCTTTTTTCCCTCCTTTCTTTCCTTTTCCATCGTTTAATTTTACATCGTTCTTTTCTTCCCTCCCTTCTCTTCTCTTCTTTCTTTCTTTTTTTATTTTCTTTCTTTCTTGTAATCTTTTCCTATCCTTTTATTTTTTTTTCATCCGCCGATTTCTCTCATTCAGAGTTTCCATCAATCGTTTCTTGTTTCTTTCTTTTTTCTTTCTTTCATTCACCTCTTCTTGTCCTCCCTCCCTCTTCGATTGATTATTTCTTCTTCACTTGTTTTTTCTTCCTATCTTTCCTTCATTCTTTTTCCCATTTGTTTTTATTTTCTTCTTTGTCCGCCTTTTCCTCTGCACATTTCATTTATCTCCCATCATACTTATTATTAGTTTTAACTTTTTCACTCGCTTGCTTTATTCTAATTTATTTTTCTTTGGACTGTTTTTATTTCACTTTACAACGATCATTTCCTGTCAACCCCGACCCATACTTGGTTCTATCCTCAACTGCCCTCAACCCGAACTACACAGCCACTGCCCTAGCCACCCATACTAAATTTATAGAAATAAGCATTCCGTTTACTAAAAATCATTCACTCTTCCATTGTTCTTGATCGGAATTCGATCCGCTTCCAAAAGTATTTCAAGAAAATTGGGTCTAAACACAAAACTATACCGTCATTATTGACCCGTCCGCTTTTTTTTTTCCATTTTTTTTTTGCTCCACTACAAAATGATAGCCCGAAAGTAACTCATATAGATACATGTTTCATATACGACAACGTGCTGAAAAGTTCTCAGACCGACCCACTTCCAAAAATCAATATTTCGATTACCTACCTTCAGAATACTGACGATGAGACGCCTAACAAGTCCCTTATTTTCCAGTACTGCTACCTTCGTTAATCGTTTTCTGTATATACATTTTTGTCGACTATCATATACGTACGACAGTATATATGTGTGCGTTTGTCTGTTTGCATGCAAACAAGCTGCTGATGTTTATATAGCTATAATCAGTGTGGACATGGGAATCAACTCAGTATCATTACGTTCTTCTAACCAAAATTTCGACTCAAAATTCTTCGTGTTGTGTCACTTCAGGACGTAAATAATTATGGCTTTTCACAAGTTCCTGTTTCTTAGTTCCTAATAAATGCTGTCTTATTGTTATTTCTTTGAAACGCTGTCCCAAATCCACTTACTCAAGCTCACATGCGTTGTTTTCATCTGTCCCTCTTTGCATTCATTCTATCCTGTGAGTATCAGATTTTCGAAGCCCTCTTTCCTCATTATGTGCCTTAGAAATATCAGCTCTCTCTTCCAGGTATTAAGTTTTCTTTTTGTTCCCATTTTCTCTGAAACTTCGTTGTTACTCACATGTTTCATTCATGTTATCCTCGGCGTCCTTCTGTAGAACCACATTTTTGTTGCTTCATGTTTCTTCTTCATCTTCCAGGATATTGCCCAGCACTCACAGATAACACGTGATAGTTCAGTTTTCTTTACTTTGTTTCTAAGGATTTTTGTTTTGTTTCTTAATACGCTTGCAAGACATATTTTTGAAAGTCACTATTAGCTATCCAAGTGCGTCTTCTGACTTTAATGTTGCATTTTCAATTTACTCTTAGTGTTATAGACATTACCTGTAAACACAAATGGACATACCTTTTTCCTTCTTTCTTTCTTTCTTTTTGCTTTCTTTCTTTTTACTTTTTTCTTTCTTTCTGCTTTCTTTCCTTTTTTCTCTCTTGCTTTTTTTATTCATTCTCTCTTTCCTCGTTGCTTTCTCTTCCTGACTTCTTTCTTTCCGTCGTTCTTTTTTCTTTCTTTCTTTCTTTCTTTCTTTTCGCTTTCTTTCTTTCTTTTTTGCTTTTTTCTTTCTTTCTGCTTTCTTTCCTTTTTTATCTTCTGCTTTCTTTCTTTCTTTCTTTCTTTCTTTCTTTCTTTCTTCATTCTCTCTTTCCTCGTTGCTTTCTCTTCCTGACTTCTTTCTTTCCGTCGTTCTTTTTTCTTTCTTTCTTTCTTTCTTTCTTTCTTTCTTTTCGCTTTCTTTCTTTCTTTTTTGCTTTTTTTTTCTTTCTTTTCTTTCCTTTTTTTCTTTCTTTCTTTCTTTCTTTCCTTTTTCATTCTCTCTTTCCTCGTTGCTTTCTCTTCCTTTCTTTCTTTCCGTCGTTCTTTTCTTTCTTTCTTTTTCTTTCTTTTCTTTTCTTTCTTTTCTTTTTTTTGCTTTTTCTTTCTTTTTCTGCTTTCTTTCCTTTTTTTATCTTCTGCTTTCTTTCTTTTTCTTTTTTCTTCTTTCTTCATTTTCTTTCCTCGTTTGCTTTCTCTTCTTCTTTCTTTCCGTCGTTTTTTTTCTTTTCTTTCTTTCTTTCTTTCTTTCTTTTGCTTTCTTTTCTTTCTTTTTTTTTTTTGCTTTCTTTCTGCTTTCTTTCCTTTTTTTATCTTCTGCTTTCTTTCTTTCTTTCTTTTTTCTTTCATTTTCTTTCCTTTCTTTCTTTCTTTTTCTTTTTTTCGTTCTTTTTTCTTTCTTTCTTTCTTTCTTTCTTTCGCTTTCTTTCTTTCTTTTTTCTTTCTTTCCTTTCTTTCCTTTTTTTATCTTCTGCTTTTTTTCTTTCTTTCTTTTTCTTTTTTCTCTTTTTCTTCGTTTATTTCTATTCTTGCCTTCTTTATTTTTCTTTCTTTCTTTTGTTTTTTTTTTTTTTTTTTTATTTTCTCTTTCTTTCTGTCTTTTTCTTTTTTCTTTTTTTTTCTTTTCGTTTTCTTTCTTTTTCTTTCTTTTCTTTTTTCTCTCCTGTTTTCTTTCTTTCTTTATTCCTTCATTCTTTCTTTCCGCGTTGCTTTCTCTATTTTCATTTTCTTTCTTTACAACTTTCTGCATTTTTTTCTTTTTTCTTTCATTTCTTTCTCCTTACTTTCTTTCGTTCTACTTTCTTTTTGGCTTTCTTTCTTTCTTTTTGCTTTCTTTCTTTTTTCTTTTTTCTTTCTTTCTGTTTCTTTCCTTTTTTATCTCTTGCTTTCTTTCTTTCTTTCTTTCATTATTTCTTTCTTTCTTTCTTTCGTTTTTCTTTCTGCTTACTTTATTTCGTTCTACTTTCTTTCTTTCTTTTTTCTGTCTTTCTTTCCTTTTGCTTTCTTTCTTTCTTTTTGCTGTTTTCTTTCTTTCTGCTTTCTTTCTTTCTCTTTTCATTCATTCTTTCTTTCCTCGTTGCTTTCTCTATTTCTGTCTTCTTTCTTTCTCTTTTTCTTTCTTCGTTTTTTCATTCTTTCTTTGTTTTTTGCTTCTTTCTTTCTTTCCCTCCCTCTCTGCTGCTGCATTTTCTTCTTTCTTTCTTTTTTTAAATGATAACCTTGTTTGTCTACTTTACTTTGTATTTACATCCCACTTTTTTCTTTAATTTTATTTATCTATTTCTTATCGCATTATAGTTTTGAATCAATTTGCCATGTCTACTGCGGATTCTTGGGGATTCTTCTAATTAGAATGTTTTTTATTACTATTGCTTCTTCTTCAGGTGACTGTCATTTTGGCGGCCGAGAAATTCTGCTTGTTTTCATTTTGGTGTGTTTAGATTAGTTTTTGAATTGATTCAAAAAAATGTGGTAAGGCAGATGATAGAGTTTGAAAGAAATCGAAAAGACATCGAGACAACAATCTGAAGAAGTAAAAAGAAAGAGAGAGAGAGGATGAAAAGAAATGGTGACGAGGCAATTGAAGAAAAGACACTGAAGATGGGAAAATGTTTCAACTGATAACGAATAAAACAAAGATGAGAAAAGAAAGAAATAGTGATGAAGGAAGAAATAAAATGGCTATTAGAAAGAAAGAAAGAAAGAAAGAAAGAAAGAAAGAAAGAAAGAAAGAAAGGGAAAAGGAGAAAAGCAAGGAAGGAAAGTAAAACTTTGAAAGAAAGAAAAGAAAGAAAAGGGAGGAAGAAAGAGAGAAAAGCAAAAAAAAAAAAACAATAGAAAAGAAGGGAAGGAAAACGTTTGAAGGGAGAATGTAGAAGAAACAAGGCAAAAGAAAGAAAGAAATAACGAAAGAAAGATGGACGAAAAAGCGATTAACGAATGAAAGGAAAATTAACTTCTAAAAAGAAAGAAAGAAAGAAAGAAAGAAAAGAAAGAAAACAAGCAAATAATGAAGAAAGGAAAATTTTAAACGAATTAATGAATGAATAAATGTAAGATTGAAAGAAAGAGAGAATATAGGAAAGTGAATAATGAAAGAAAAAAAAAATTGGCAAAAAAATGAAAGGAAGAAAGAATGGAAAAATAAGACAAGCAAGAAAAGTACAACTTTGGATGAAAGAAAAAAGAAAGATAACAAGCAAAGAAGGAAAGGAAAATGGTAAAAGTTTGGAAGGAAGACTGAAACGAAGAAGCAATGCAAAGGAAAAAAGGAAAGAAAGAAATAACGTAAGAAATAACGAAAGAAATAACGAAAGAAAGAAAGAAAGAAAGAAAGAAAGAAAGAAAGAAAGAAAGAAAGAAAATCAAAGAAAGAAAAGAGGCAAGTGAATAATGAAGAAAGGAAAATTTTAAAAGAATGAATGAATGAATGAAATTGAAAGAAAGAGAGAATAGAGGAAAGTGAATAATGAAAGAAAGGGAAATTGGCAAAAAAAAATGAAAGCAAGAAAGAATGGAAAGTACAATTTTGGATGAAAGAAAAAAGAAAGATAACAAGGAAAGAAGGAAAGAAAAATGGTAAAAGTTTGGAATGGAGACTGAAACGAAGAAGCAATGCAAAGGAAGAAAGGAAAGAAAGACAAATGCGATGTCAAAAAATTTAGAAGAAAGAAAAATTAGAGGAAACAACAATTAGAGGAAAGAAAAATTAGAAGATCGAACAATTCGAAGAATGAAAAATTAGAGGAGAGAAAAATTAGACGAAAGAAAATTTAGAGCAAAGAAAATTTAGAGGAAAGAAATATTAAAAGAAAGAAAAATTAAAATTTAAAAGAAATAATAAGTCGTGGTAAATAAAAATAAGAGGGAAAAACTGGAGGAAGATGAATAATTAGAAAAGACAATTAGAGAAAAGAAAAATTACATGAAAGAAAAATTAGAGGAAAGAAAAAGTAGATGAAAGAAAAATTAAAGGAGAGAAAAATTAGAGGAAAGAAGAAGTAGATGAAAGAAAAATTAAAGGAGAGAAAAATTAGAAGAATAAAAAATTGAGGAAAGAAAAATTAGACGAAATATAATTAAATGAAAGATAATTTACAAGAAAAAAAATAGAAGGAAGAATAATTAGAGGAAAATCAGAGGAAAAAAATTGAGCAAAGAAAAATTAGGTGAAAGAAAATTTAGACGAAAATTAAGGAGAAATAGGAGAAGAAAAATCAGAGATGAATAGAATAAGATGAAATAAAAATTAGAAGGAAGATAAATTAGTGAAAAGAAGAATTTGAGAAAAGAAAAGAATGAAACGTTAGTATCCAAAACCTTCACGCTAAAACGGCAACAAGCTGAAAAGCTGATAAAAGTAATGAATGAAAATCCGAAAAAGATAAAAGAAAAATAATGAATGACTTTATAAAACAAGACAATGTGAAGGACAAAGAATAGAACACCTCATATGAAAAGGAAAAAAAAAGAAAGAAAGGAAAAGAAGAAATTCAATAAAAATAGGAAAACAGACATAAATGAAATTCAGAAAAGATCAAACAATTATTAATATCTCGAGCGTCAACAGACTGAACACTACGAATCTGTCGTTATATATGCTCCCTCTCTGGATATTCACAAGGGCACATCGCGTTAAAACACCAGTTCTCGTACGGTCACTGAACTTCGAATATGGTCAGTATCTGGATGACTGACACCTTGAAAGCATCAGGTGATGTAAGCTTGGATGTGCGAGTGGTGTAATGGATACAGGCCAGGAATTTCTTAATCGGAGAGCCGAGTTTCAATTCCAGTTGTGTTCGTTATATTCACATAGACGCAAATAACCTTGGGAAATGGGCGAATCCACGACTTAGGAAAGGTAGGTATCCATCTATGGTTTAATTAGTAAGAATTGAATCACTAAATCATTTTTATATCCCAAAATAAAAAAAAATGCGTACAAAATACTTTGATTTCGGCATTAAATAACCCTTAGAGTTTGCTATAACGTAAAACAAAAACAAACATCTGACTCCATCGATTATGAGGCATTTCGAGAGACATTTTTTTCTTACTTAATGGAAATGCAAGGCGCAAGACGAACTCAAAGAAGAAGGTTACTTAAAAAAGTTTTTGTATAAATGTAATTGAAAAAGTGTAGATTATAACGATATAATGGTTAATGGTTAACCATAGAACTGAAGAATTTAAATTTGTAGATTTTACAGATGCAAAGAATATTACTAATGGTATTTAACACTAACTGATCAAGCGAGACAAACTTGCTAAGCAATATACCACGATGGAGTTCCCGGAAGGCATATATAAAAACCGCACAAGCCATGAAGAGTGAACGTATTCTATAATTTACGAAACATCGAAGTCGGCATGACAGGGATGATATAGCTCAGTTAAGTGATAATTTCAGTATATTAATTTTGTTAACTCGCTATATCCCATATTGTGTACTTTACCACACTGTCTGCTTGTCTAAAATAGCTTCAAAGTCTTACAACTCATTAATATATATATTAATATATATATATATATATATATATATATATATATATATGAAGAAATATAATTTTAAGGTGTACTATATTTATGGGATAAAGTGCTCAATAAAATATCAGCGATAGAGCGTATGTAGATATAAAATTGAACATAGAAGTTAACACTCAGAGGCAACAGACTGTTTTATGCTAAACGCAATCAGGCCACATGTGTTGTTTTTACTATTAAATAAAATAAAAAATAAGAAGGAACAGGTAAAATAAATCAAATAATCGAATCAAATAATAAACAAATTAACAAACCACTCCCGCCATAACAACCGTTAGAATAGACTGAAAAGAATAAATAAAAATGAAAAAAATAAGCAAAACAAGTAAAAATAATCAACCCAAATAAATAAAATAAATAATAAACAAGTTTGCATACCTCTCCCGACAAAATAACCGGCAGAGTAGACTACAACAATCAATCCAAAAATTAGACGAAAAATTGCTATAATTACTTTCACAGACCAAAACAAACTACTAAATAAACGATTAGAACTCATCTCAATTTTTTTTACTACGTTACTAAAAAATCGAAAACCGAAAAGAATATATAAAAATATATAAAATAAATGTATATAGAGGATGCTATGGATAAATTGACGTCTAAATGACGCAAAAATAAAAACAACACATTTTTACCAAAATGACTCGAAAATACACCAGTGATTTATGCACCATGCATATCTTTTGATACATGACTGACGAGGCAATTTTTTTCCGGCAGTAGGTTGCCATTATCTTTCTGAGTTAGACCACTTGCCATCCAAACCTACAAAACTCGGTATGTCCTTCTACTTACAAGAAAAGGATTCATACCTTTCCCAAGGGAAATTCACGCAAGTGAATGTGATGGATTTGCCTGGAATTCGAACTCGACTCTCCGATTTCTCAATCCCAGCCCCCATCTATTACTCCGCCGAGTATACTAGATTAATCTTATTCAATAAAATCACTATAAGCTCCAACCAGACAAATTCAGAATCTCCTGCATCAATTCTGGACGGTCTTCAGGTTTAAGTTAGTAAATGATGCCATAATGCTTGCATTCAGTTCATCTTTGGTGTTACAAGGAATTTTGTTGTTATCTCGCTCAACTACGCCCCACACATAATGAATAAAGGCGTTTGGGGACTGAGTTGGCCAGATGTCACGGGTAATGAGGTCCCAGAAATTATCTGACAGCCATGACTTGGTTCTCCTTCTTGTGTGACATAGTGAAGAGTCCTATTGCCAGATATAGTGTCTACAAGCAGCCACCCTCCTGGTCCAGGGAACACTCCTCAAGGAACTTGATGCAGGCTTCCGTGTTGAGTCTGAGGCTATCGTCAACAGATTCGGGGGTTCTTTTATTAACAGAACGATGAGTATGAGTTTTCCAAATTGCTTCACCTTCGTAATCACCATGAGACTCATCCAACTCTACGAATCCTCCCGACTGTTCTCAGATTGACAAATATTCGTACTGAGGCTTCCTGTGCGAATGCCAAGCAGTACAGTATTCCACATTTCTGACTGGGTAATTTGCCTCACGGTGCTCCTTTTCTCACAACTCACCCTACTATATGTGCAGTCGTTAATATATATATATATATATATATATATATATATATATATATATATATATATATCACACATTATGAAATGGACAAAGTCCGACAATTATTTTTTTAAGACATGTTTATGTTTATACATTCTTTTTATAGATACAAATATTTAAGTAAATTCTCTGTTTATAATAAGCAGTATTAAACTACATTTACAGAACTGAAATTCCGAGAAATTTTCTTAGAAAATATTCGTCCTCTGACGAATTATTGAATTCCATCGCTACATAAGAGTTCTCATGTTTCAAAACAAGAGCCAAAAACTTATTCCATCGCTACATAAGAGTTCTCATGTTTCAAAACGAGAGCCGAAAACTTATTCCATCGCTACATAAGAGTTCTCATGTTTCAAAACAAGAGCCGAAAACTTCAATATAATTATTTGAATTAAATTGAATAAAAGTCCCTTTTTTTAAATAATTGCTCTAGCCGTTACCATAGTAATTTTAATTTTAATAATGATTATGCTTATAAACGCGTAAAATTCAGGAATAAGTTATTCCAAAAAAAATTTCGCTTGAAGATGGAACAGAGCTTGGTACTTTAATTCAATTTAATTCAAATAATTATATTGAAGTTTTCGGCTCTTGTTTTGAAACATGAAAACTCTTATGTAGCGATGGAATCATATTTTTAAATAAATAATTATGTTTATGCTCTACTTTTGTATCGGGCACTATTTTTTTATAAATAACAAAAATACTAAAGAACTTTGGATTATTTATCTAACGAGTTCTTTCCTATTTTCTACATATTTTACACACACACACACACACACACACACATATATATATATATATATATATATATATATATATATATATATATATATATATATATATATGCACTAGGTTATTGATCAAAGTTGAATCAGACCAGGAAACAGTAGTATTAAAATGTGCTCAATAAACGTGTAAAATAAAACATAGATTAAAAATAACATACATAGCTTTTAGCTTTAAAAATTAGGAGGTCAGTTGAATCCGTTACCTTGGTTTCAATCTTACGGTATTCTCAGGTGTAATGGAAAGGGAGGAGGAAGATGTGAAGAACGAAGAAGTGTACCTTTTTTGAATGCAACGGTCGCACATTATACAAGCTTAATCAATGGTTTATTCACTACTAACTGAGTCATCCCCGGAGAGTGTCTGTTTACGCATGCGCAGTAAGATCCCACTCTGATTGGTTAGCGAGTTGGATCAAAGACGCGCATCCGGTTCTTAACATACTTAAAATGATTATGTATGGTAGAACTCGTATCATCATAAAATCGAGTCACACACACACAAACATATATATATATATATATATATATATATATATATATATATATATATATATATATAATAGAGGTAAAAGCCTGGGGCCCCTATACATTTCTTTTTAAAAGAACATCATAAAATGGAATATTTTTGTAATTTCTAAAGTAAAAAAGATACAATTTCAGTAACTACAGTGTATCATTTTAATCATTTCCCCCCTGCCCAAGATGAAAATTCCACTAGCACTCGGGGACTTACAGGGAGTGAAAGTGAGAGAAAAAACTGGGTTTAGGGAGGGATCGAGGAAAGTATAAAAGATGAACGGGATTCAAGAAGACAGAAGATGGCGATTGACGTTGCATTTAAGAACAATTTTCTGAGATGTAAGCAAGGGCTTAAGACTACTGATTTCTGGTTTAAAAGGTTTTTGGGACCCGGAAATATCATAATCGTTAATTATTCCTGTTGGCAGAGGTTGCAAATAAGATTGTGATGTTGCAAGTTTTTGCATTCTGTACAATTTTCACCTTACCAACGGATACATGTTTTATCTTTTCAATTCCACAAATGGCCAACTACTTTGGTAGAGTACCTGAGATTTGCTAACTTAAAAGACGACATATGAATCTATCATATACGCTTAAAAGCAACTTCCGTACATCGTATATACACTTTATTTTGGATATTGACATCTGTTGCTTCAGCTTTATAAATTATAGCTTCTGTTTTATAAGCTCGATGTAATGGACATCTATTCTTATTTCTATAGGTGCATAAATTACTAGTGTTAATTTACTGTATGTTAGCTTTGAGATTTCTGGCGCTTCGGCTCTCTCTCTCTCTCTCTCTCTCTCTCTCTCCCTCTCTCTCTCTCTCTCTCTATATATATATATATATATATATATATATATATATATAAAGAAAGAGCAGTAAGTTATAGAATCCAATGTTCATATTGAAATTTTTATTTTATTTTACAGTGCTCAATGTAAATTTACAGAGCATAAATATTATGAATTAACTGATTTTAAAAAAAAACAACATATTTTAAACCAGTTAATATTATATATATATATATATATATATATATATATATATATATATATATATATAAAGAGATAGATAGATAGATAGATAAAATATATATATATATATATATATATATATATATATATATATATATATATATATATATGTATGTATGTATGTATATACTACGCATCCGTCTCTCTCTCCCTCTCTCACTCTCTCTCACGCACACACATTTACAGACACACACAAATTCATCTTCGCAAAGGGTCTTAGACTTTGGTAAATATATTCTGTTAAATTAGGACGTCGGTGTTATTTTCATTTTTGCATAATTTAGACGATAATTTATCAATCACACCTTGAATGTATGTGTGTGTGTGCGTGCGTACGTGTTTGTGTGTGCGTGCGTGCATACGTGTTTGTGTGTGTGTGTAAATATGCCTTTTAAATTTAAAAAAAATATAACAATTTTTTTTACTTTTGTTTATGAATACTTGTTGCAAAACAAAATCCTAACATTTGTCATCATAAAGTTGTTTAGAGGAGGGAACGCGTCGGCTAAGATAAGTTTTACTTTTT